ATTGAGATTTTCACGTCCGGTTGTATTGGTGCTATATGTGAGAACGTGTTAGTGAAAATCCGAGGAAAATACATAACAAATCACTGTCAAACTCATTTTGAGAGATCTAATTCCATACATTTTTTAGGTTAGCCAGAACAGGGTGTCTACTCAATCCAAGGAATCAAATTCCCTGAGTTTTCCAGGTTTTTCCAGGTCGAATGAAAAAAATTCCAGGTGCATACAAATTATACACATTATTATTTTATCTATTTATCCATCTGGAATCCCTTTTATGTACTTATTGATTTATGTTATTTTCGATTGTTCAAACTTGGGCGTTGGTACTTATAAGTCGGCACAGCAAAAAAGTTATTGAATATTACAGCAGAACAGATGCACATAGGTTGTTTAATATTAATTTGTACAATTTATGTTTAGTAAATGCACCAATAGTGGAGATACGTTAGTACAATGTACTTCTATAGCGGATTAGGGAGACTCTATAAGCCACCATAGGAACACATTGCACTAAAGTACCTCCACAATTGGTGCATTTATCCTACACATAATTTGCGAAAAGAAATTATATCCATGGGTGTAATATTGTATTTGGTTTTTGCAATCACATTAGTTATTCATACAGTAGCATGCATTACGTCAATCAAATATTACATTCTTTTTTGGTATTTGTGTGGTATTTTTTAAAATCAAGAATATAAATACAAGTAAGAAACCTGTCTATACTATTTCGATAAAACGATTTATCAAAATTTGATAACAATATGCTTTCAAAAACAAAATATCATTTTGATAATACGTTTGAGTCCAACTCTGTTTGGAAGATCAAGACAGAATAAATCATGGTTTCACATGTCTAAAATCTCTTAAGGTCCGTTTAGACTATCTGATTTTGACCGCCACCATAATGAAAAATCTGCTCGAATTTACTTTCGACACTGCTGGTGTTCACACTGCTTGCACATGTAGAAAGAACTGTCAATTTAGATTTTAATACAAAACTGTATCAGGAATCAAAAGTAAATACTTCCATCATGAATTACCGGAAAATTGCTCTAATTTCGGCAGGCGTATTTGCTTTTATTATTTTAAATAAAATGAGAAAGAGAAGATGAACTTTGTGGAGTAGGAAATGGTTGCTCAGGAGGAACACCGGCAGGGATCTGGCTAATCTTGTCCATCAAGAGCTGCGATATGAAGATGAAAATGGATTTTAAAACTTCGCCAGGATGTCGATACAAACTTTAGACAAGCTAGTGGGAAAAGTTCTCACTAGATATACATGATTCCTTGAGTTCTGAAAATTTCTGTTAACTACTCAATTCTTCAAGGTCTTCAAACCTTCTGACGTCCCTGAAGTTTTGTTTCTGTTCTCCGGTAAAATTACTTTAAAGATCAACAATCTTTCCTGACAATCTGCAAATTTCTCGGTAGCTCTATAGATTTCTTTGAAGTTCTGTGTGTTCTTCAGAAGTTCTGAAAATTTTCCTAAAAATCTACAAGGTTCCTGAATCCCTGAAGATTTAAGATCCTTGAAGATCAACAATTATCTCTGATGTTCACAAAATTTCTAATAATCTACAAACTCCTCGAATGTTCTGTAATTTTCTCTGTAGATTTTCATGGTTCAATTAATATCTGCAAATATCTCTGAACATCTATACAATTTTCTAAAGAATTAAAAGATTATCTAGAAATTTTTGAGCTTTCCGGAAGTTTTAGGAAGTATTCTGACGTTTTTCGATTTTTTCTGAAGGTGTGCAAACATCTCTAAAGATCAGCGAACTTACCTGAAGTTCTGTAAATGTCTTTCAAAATCGAAGAACTGCAGTAAAATTCTGAAAATTTAATTAAACATCTGCTAATTTTTAAGTAGATCTACGATCTACCCTGGGAACTTTTCTGAAGTTTCTAAAATTTATTTCAAATTCTGTAAAATTTTCTGAAGTACTGTATTTCTGCTCTAAAGATCTACGAACTCCCCTGAAGTTCAATACATTTCACAGTAGATCTTCGAACTTTTCTAAAGTTCTTTATATTTCTTTGTGGATTCTTGATCTAAAGATCGGCGAACTTTCCCGAAGATCTGTGAGTTTTGCTGAAGATTTGCAATTTTTTCTAAAAACGTACGAACTTTCTGACATTTTACAGACTTCTTTTAAGGTCTACGGACTTCTCTGAAGTTCTTTAGATCTATCTATTCCCGACTTTCATGGAGTTCTGCAAAATATTGTACTTTTGTACTTCGCTGCGATTTGTTTTTGGAATTGAGGTGCTTTACTGACATGTAACGAATTTTTCTGATGATCACACATTTGTGAGGAACTGTGAAACTTTCTGTCAAATTCCTGCAAATATCTTTAAAGTTCTGCAAAGTTGTCTTAAGCTCCGTAGCTCTATTCCCAAGATCTACAAAAAAAAACTTGAGGCTCAATAAATTTCTCAGTAGATCTGCAAACTTCTCTGATGTTTTGTAAATTCCTCTCGGGTTACCCTGAAGATTTAAAAATTTCCTTGAAGATTACCTAAAGTTGTCAAAATTTATCTGAAAATATTTGAGCTTCTTTGAAGTTTTAAATGTCTCTCTCAAGATCTACGAATTTTCCTGAAATTGTGTAAATATTTTTGTTTTAAATCGCCGAACTACCATGAAGTTCTGCAATTTTTACTGAAGATCCATTAACATTTCTGAGATTCTTGTGATTTTTTCAGATGTCCTGAATTTTTTTCTAAGTTCTGTAGCTTTGTTCTGAAGATCTACGAACTTTTCTGATGTTGAATAATGTTTCGAGGATCTCCAAACTTCTGTGAAATACTTTATATTTCACTGTAGATTCTTGAACTTGTCTGAAGTTATGCGAATTTCCCTGAAGATTTGCAAAATTTCGCTTATAGTTTTTTTGAAATTATTTTTGCTTGCTTGAAGTTTTGAAAATTTCTTTGAACATTTATCTGAAGATCTACGACCTCTCTTGTGATTTTGTTTTTATGAATTTCTGTTAATTACTTTTAATTTGTTTGTAGTTCTGTTCTCAAGATCTACGAACTACCCTGAAGCTCAACAAATTTCTCAGTAGATCTCCGACCCTCTCTGAAGCTAAAAAAAAAAATTCTCTGTAGACTCTCAGACCTGCTGTCTAGCATGCTTATTCTTATACAATACATGCTTCATATGCTTCCTATTGACGGTTGCCAGTCTCTCTTTTTTGGCTGTTTCCTTTTTACGACGATTTTGATTCTCCACATACAAATCAGCGAAGAGCGAGCGTGACAAGACTCTCTGAATGAACTTGTCTCGTTCGCACACGTTTTCTTAGCTGTCAGATGCTTGTCAAGTTCAGTGTCCTCAAGAAACGTTTCGAGAAACTGAACGAAAAACTTCTTTTGAATTACGAATGAAGTGATAATTGGAAAATTCCCTGAGTGGAGCGAACATTCCCTGAATATTCCATGTTTTCCAGAAAAAATAAAATTCCCTGTAAATTCCCGGTTTTCCAGGTTTTTTCAGGTAGTAGACACCCTGCAGAAGAAAATAATATACAACTTTACACCGCTATGCACCCGCTAGTGTGCGTGCGTTAAACGTCACTAATCTCTATTGGAATAGTCCTCTCCAGGCGGGTTCGTATTGGTTCGATTTGCGTGTGTTAGTGAGATGAAATTTTTTGTTAGCTGTGAGAAATTTTTTGTTTGCTGTAAGAACTGTCATTCTAAAGTAAAAATAAACAACAAAACGAAAACAAACCTTACGCTTGTACGGTAACAGTCAAATGCCCTTTTATAAGTAAAAGTTAACCCATTTTTAATAAAAGTGGCTTTACTCATTTATGACTAAATTATTTTAACAACAATGAGTTTCTGCTAACAGTTACTACTTGATTGGCATAATAAATTACTCATTAATTACTAGTGCCACTTTTATTGACAATGGGTTAACTTTTACTCATAAATGGGAGTTTGATTATTACCGTGTACATGGCAGTATATGGTAGTGTGAGTAAAATTATATTATTAGATTAGTGTTCGTGAGATCCTGCTTGGAGAACTCAATGGGCGCAATATTGGGGATACTTAGGTCGCCATTACGGACATTAATCATGACCAGCTGCAGCAACTTACAGCAAAAGCAGAAAAGCAAGTACGGGAACAAACCTACACAGCAAAAAAATAATTTTGATATCACATCAAAGTGGATGCACTACAATCATGTCGAAAATTTCATGTAATTTTTATGACCACATAAATAAACAAATGCAGTAAAAGCAGCGTAATGTCAGTTCATGCATTGTATTAATGATAATTTTGTCCTTTTTAGCAAGTAATATAACACCATATTTTCGACATGATTGTAGTGCATCCACTTTGACGTGATATCAAAATTATTTTTTTGCTGTGTATTATTGTATTATTTTACGAGATTTCTACTTATTGTAATGGAATCTACACACTTAGAAAAAATCATTTAAATTTCGATGTTCTGAGACTGACATATTCAGCTCAATCAATTCAGCTCAATCAAACGAACGTTTCATTCTCGGAGCACTTAATTTTACATGACATGTTTGTTTAATAGCGAATAGTGCGAAACCGAACTTTTTGCTAGTGCGAACCTCGACCTGAGGTAAGTTTTAAAAACAAACAGACCCAACCTTGAGCGTGTGTAAAATTAGTTATTTCTAAGTGTATATGCATTGTCATACAACTTATAGTTGAAAAGGATTCAGTGATGATTCCTAATGTTATTTTACATTGAAATTTTCTCTCATTTTCCTTTTCATTTAACGTGCCACGGTTTATCTATTGGTTCACACGAAACGAAACAAAAACCAAGCAAACAAACAGCTGTCAACCGCAGACGGCAGCGATGTGTTGTGTGCCTCTGTCAGCTTGTAGCTTAAGTTGTCAAAAAAGGCACTTTTCAAGTTCTAAAGCCGCTTATAGTGGCCGGATAGATAGTTTTATAATAAAACACCGGGGGAGATGTATGCGTATATACTTACTTGACTGAAGGTGACGGCTGCGCCGGTACTGTGAAAGTTCTTCGCGACCAGTTCCAGCGGGGAACAGGACAAAAAGGGCGAGCTAGCCGGGGGTGTATTATACCCGCCTGCTGCAAACAGCGATTCTGTCACTGAAAAGAGAGAGAGAGGAAAAAAACAAGTTAGAAATTAGATCTTCTGTGTTAACTGATTGTATAATATTTTACTGATTTCTTTTCTGGAAGTTTTTTTCACCGAGCGGGAAGGAGATTCCCCAGAAGAGAAAAAAGCGAAGTTTATAAATTCAAAATAAATAATAATAAAACTCGAAACCGTTCTCAGTTGGAGGTTCGATGCCAGGCGAGGCGAGCACGAGGAGTGAGAGAAGAATATTTGCGAACGAGCCGCGGCCGCTCGAGAAGCACGCTCGAGAGAACGCTGAAGTGTGGGCATAAAAAGGCTAAACTCAACAGAGAAGTCGGCGCGGACGGCGGGAGATGGAGATAAGACTCGGCGTGTGTGAGTGTATGGAAGACTTGGCTGACTCGGAGTTGAAGAGGTTATAACAACGCTGAAAGGGGAGCCGGTCGGGCGGGTGCGGTACCTTTAGTAAGAAGGTAGGCCTCCGGCTTAGAGTAGTGAAACCCGTTTGGAAATGGGTCAACCGAACCAAACTGGCGGAAAAACGAGCATTAGCCATCTCGTTCTGGTCCAGTGTGTGTATGTTGTGTTGCCGAGGTTCTTTTTTTTTTCGCTTACTGGTCAATGTCAATACCTAACCTATGCTGTTGTGTTGTTGTTGTTGTTGTCATAAAGTGCCGGGTCTTGGCTTTGTCTTTCATTCCTGCTGTTTGGCAGCCTTGAATTCATTTTTACACACGAGCGAATTCTGAGGAATTTGTAATAAATAGCTTAGTTTTTCATCCCGTTGGCTCTTTTGTTCTATTTTTCTGCCATTCTCCGCAGAAATGCATGTTTTGCAACATTCAGCATTTTCTTCCATGTCTCCTTGGCAATGGCATGGCATGCTGATCTGGTCAAAAGTCGGGGTTTGTGGAAACGTAACTTGTCGAGTCGCGTTTTCTTCCCGTTTTTTTCGAAACCCTCTCTCGGTGTCAAATTTCCTCTGCGGCTGTCCGTAACGCATCACAATTTCTGACATTCGGGACCTAAACGACCCCCCTAGCCATAGCCAAAGATCCCTTCGTTGAGCGTGCCTGGTTGCTTGCTCGTTTGATGACCATCAGAAAATGCATTTCATCGTTTCCCTTTCTTCTTGGCACCTTCCAACATGGAGAAAGAAAGCCCTTGCGAACATAAAAAAAAACTTATGGGGGTGCATTCTTGTTTACCTCTTACCCTCATAGTAAGCGCTGAGAGTTTAGTTATACCTCACGGTTCTATTTATCTTACAGCCCACATCTCGATCCCGGGATTCCTGGTTCATTATCGTCCAGGAGGAAATGAGAACCTTTACAAGTCGTCCTCTCCTGCTATGGCTTTGTTTACATTCACAACAGTGTAATAAAATTGAAAACGATACAAGCCGCTCGTTCGACGCAACGTATACCGGCGGATCTGGAGAAATCCTGAGCTGCTTCCTTCCAAGAATTGGCTACCTTTTTCCAGTATTTGTCGTATTTGTCTTTGCCGTTCTTGCTCGTTCACTCGTTCGACGAGGGGTGTTTAACCGAAATGCTTTGTTTATCTAGTTTCTCGAAGACGACGTTTGCGACGTACTAACAATAAAACCTCTTTCCTAATGTAGGTTAGTAACAGAGAGATTCTCAGCTAGTCTTCATACTCCGGTAGACATACAGATAAGCTGGAGTGGGATGATGATGGCTATCACCGGATTTGGCATCGGCCGGACATCGTCCGGGAAGTCCGGGTGCGAGTGACAACTTATTTCTTGTCCGACGTCGGTCGGTTGGATTCAAGAAGAAAACATGGTAACAGGATAACAACCATCTTCTTTCCCGCATGCACGCAGAGAAAGAACGGGGCGGGGGTGGTGAAGATCGAGAAGGACTCTTCAAACAGGGTTATGAATCTCAAAACAATTGTGGTTTTGAATGCTTTAAGCATCTTTGTGATGCTTTGCTCTCCGGAATGGGTTGTTGATATAAATTTTGAAGATAGCATCTTTATCTCTCGGACAGTGCTGGGAAGGTAGAGAAGAGTAGTGACGAAGTGTGGTCCTTGTGTCGGTGGAATCAGAATTCCAACCTTAAACCAACAGGTTTTTGGGAGGACGGAGAAAGGGAAGGAATTCCGAGTGGAAGGATGGGATTAATAAGTGAATAGTTGGAAAGTTATGGTTTAAGATTATTGATTTATGGAGTATGTGCATGTTGTGGTTGTCGAAGCTTTTCGAAGCAGCGTTTTTGTTGGAGGAGTTTTTGTGTATGCTTATGCAAAGAAGAAGTTGTAGATAGAACAAGAAATAGATAATTGTTTTAAGGTTAGGTAATTATAATCACAATCACTGATAGCAACAGCATCTGAATGTTAGAAGAGTATTGGATAGAAGCTGGAAGCACTCTAATTTGAGCGACATATAAATAGTAAACTTAAAAGACCTTAAAAGCTATTCTTTGGGTACACTTTATGACACTTTTGAACGGCACTTCATTAGCGGAGATGCTGATAATTTTTTTTTGCTTCATTGATTTGATTCAGCCTTTCATATAAAATATCATCAGAGCATTTTGAGCAGTATTTTATGGAAATTCTAAGGAAAATAATATATAATGGAACTCCAATAAAATTTTAAGATAACGCTTTTAAAATTTCTAAACAACATACCAAGAGATTTCTAGGAATATTCCAAATGAATTTGTAAAGGTTGAGAGAGATAAAAGCATTTTCTTGCGAGAATTTTAAGAAATACAAAGATAATAATGTATAATAATTTTCAAGAGATTGCTGTATTCTGCTTAAAATTCCGACTTTTATGAAGAACATTTCTAGCAATTACCAGAAAGAATCATAAAAGTATTAAGGGGAAATCCTTGAGAAATGTACAAACATATCTTGAGCTAAGTTCCATACACAGAAATGTATGATCCAGACAGTGCCGTATTAACGGTAAGGGCGATGGTATGATGGGGTCTCATAGCCTAGTCAGTAAAGGCACGATATTACCAAGCCGGAGGCGGCGGGTTCGATTCCCGGTTAGATCGAGGGAATCTTTCGGGTTGGAAATTTTCTCGACTTCCCTGGGCATAGAGTATCATTGTGCTTGCCACACAATATACAAATTCATGCATTGGTATTGGCATCGACAGTTCTCAATGAAAACCTGTGGAAGTGCACTAAATTGAGAGCACGCAATAAGCTAATTAGAGACATTAGAGCGTCACAATATCAGCTTCAATCGACAAAATCGATACGACGACGACACTGCTAGCTTTCTCTTTCTGGTGAAGTCGAACAACTTCGCAGCATTCAAGAAACCCTCTTTCTCCCGTTGCGTCATTGGTATTTTTTTCAAGATTCGGTGAAGCGGACCAATGAAAAAGAGCTTGACTTTGACAGTTTCGTCTTTTATGAAACACATCAACAGAGGTGACGGAAAATGAATATATTTCAAAGCATTTCTTACGTGAAAACACTTGAAGATTACACGTCATATGTTTAATTTGTCTTCCATCCACATACTTATCTAACGAAAAGTAAAGAAATCGGGACATAAGGCATATTAAACAAATGGAAGGAGCGGTAATAAAGGCTGTCTAAAGTCCTTTAATTACAGTACTTTTATTAAAACTTCAAAGTCACAGCACTAGATGGTAACATTTCTCCAGTTCGAACGAAATCTCGAACCTTCCTCTTGATGGAGCCCACCAGCGCCCGCACAGTGGAAACGGACACGGAATTAGCTCATTTCTTCCATTTTGCCCGCATTTGCAGGATGTCCTTGACTGCACTGCCCCTTCGTCGAAGTCACTGCTATGAAATTGCCCCGTATTTTTCGATTGGTCGAAATTAGCATGCCACTCCAGAACCACTTTGTAGTAGTGGTAGCTGACCAAATTAGGCCAAAAGATTACTTTGCCCCTATACTTGCGGACGAACGGCAATACACGCTTTTTCAGGCATTCTTCGATGTAAACTTGGGGATTTGACGAATGGTTCCGTTTTCAGGCCACAACTGCAAATCGCTTGCCGAATCATGGCCTTCTTCGCGAACTTGTCGACAAACATGAACTTGAATCTTCCCGGCACATCCAGTCGCGATGTAAAACTTTTGACAGGGAAGCTGCTTAAAATCGAGTCGGACGTATGTTTCGTCATCGATCAAAGTGCAACCCTTGTGTTTCGTCAAAACACGGTCGTACAAGAGCCTTGCACGCTTTTTGACCACGGAATTCTGCTTCATGTGCCGGTTCAGATGTTTACTGGCGTTGTACGACTTGTATCCTTCCCTGGCAAGGATGCTCCCTGGCATCTCGGATCGAAAGACCGGGGTTGGCTTTAACGCACCTCAACACCTTGCTGCGCAGCTGACGATCTATGGTTTCCACACTCAAGGTTTCCTTGTAGGTTTTGAGCACTCGACAAACTGTTGTTTTCGGCATCTTCAGCACTTTAGCCAGCATGGAACCGGACCACTCCGGATTTTCCAGGTGTTTGTGCACGATATGTTTTCTTCTTTCGAGTTCCTTTTGATCAAACTTGCACCAGCTGTTCTCTATAGAAGTGTAAACAAACCACTGTCAAAGATTTTCGATTCCCAACACTAAAGGCGCACTAGTAGCGCACGAGGGGCGTACCAGTTTACTTTTAGTCAGCTTTTAAAGTTTCGGTTGAAGGGATTGAAAGCCATACACGCTCGTCTGATTTTACCCTAAAGTGAGTAACTTTACTCAGTTTCGTATTTGTATGCTAAATGTCAAAAGCTGAGTAACATCAATTTAGCAAAGTGAGTAACCTTTACTCTAATTGAATAAATATGGAACACTTTACTGTTTTGAGTTAGATCACATGTAATAAACGTCCGAGAAATGTTGAAGCCCGGAGTTCAAAGTCAATTCCCCGAGAAATTCCCACAAAGTGTTGAAAGAATGAAAGATTCTGCTTTCAGTAAAACTGATCCGGACAAATAACTGGCTTATGGTGTTTTTCTTCTGAGATAAGCTTGATATCA